GTGACTAGTCGACTAATCGTGGCAGCCCTAGTTCAGACTAAAAATGACCAAAATACTCTAAATGATGTGACTGCTGACAGAAAACACCATGCAATTTGAAGCCAATTTATACAGGCCTATACTCTGCTCAGCCTAACTGTAAGCATAAGGTGAATTTAAGTAAGAGTATATGCATATGTAAGTATCAAGTAACATCTTGTAACTGCATCGTGGGACAAACAACATACAGACATGGATTAAAAAAAACACAAAAACAAATAAGGATGCATGTCACCTGATCAAAAAAACAGACATCAGTATGTATTCATTATCACCCTTTCATGAGATAAACAAAACCTGAGATTATCTTGTGGGCAGGCTTAAATTACAAATTTAAAAAATGACGTCTATCGTTTTGAAAACACTTTAAGTAATTTTTATACTTACAAGGTTCAGAAGTGCGAGACAGTCATCGATACGAACAACAACTTGAAACAACCTGAAGATAAACGAGGAGAGAAAGAATGAAAACGGGCGTCTTAAAAATAACTAGTACTACAATACTATCAGAACTAATACTATTACCACTACTACTAACCTGATATGAGCAGCCCAGGCAACAGTCACAATGAGGAATGTCATCAAGTAAACGCCGATCTTTGTGGAGAGTAGACCCTGGAGACTCTCCCTCAATTCCTGCAATACAAGATTTTACAGCATTTTCCTGTTATAGGTCCTTAATGTGAATTAATGTATTTAAGATAGTTTAAAACTTCCAAAAGTAACTAAAGTTATCATCAGAGAATGTTGGTGAAGCAACCAGGAAGATGTTAGATCCAGTTCAGGTTGCAATTTGGTGTAATACCATTTTGTACCACAAGATGGTGCGATGAGTCAGTGTAGCCTTTATTCAACCAGCAACAAATCATTAGAAACGCATTTACAATGGTGTCCCATCAAAGCCTCCTGAAGAAAATAAGGGTGGGGCTAAAATTCACCGTCAAAAACAAATAAAGGCGTCACACATCTGAAAGCATTTCAGTGTAACCACAGGAGAAACACCGCCCCTGCTGGTGACGATTTTATTTACAGTTTGCAGACACAAACACAAACAATACGTTAAGTTGTTATTACATTTACTGCAAAATCAGAAGCTGCATCAGAAAGCTCAGCTGAATAACAAGGATATCACGGCTTTGCTAAAACTTGAAATACATTTTTAAAAAGTCCGACGTTACCTCATTATTTTCCACTTTGGTGTGAGCAACAGGTAAAATCTGTGGATAAATGAAACTGTATCAGGAGACAGATCAGTTCAAACATACAGTGCTGCACATACACAGATATGTTAGACTCTTAGATCAGCGTGTTTAGGGCCAGGAGACCCAATTAGCAGTAATGAATTAAGCAGAAATCTTTCTATAAGTGTTATTTATTTATTTATTTATTTGAAATTAATTGGAGTTTTCACTGTTACAGATTTTGCAGATAAGATTTTTTTCTCTTTCTGTCTCAGTGTGATGGGTCTGACTATGACAGTAAAACAACAGTTGAGAGAAGAAGCTGCATAAATTGAAAAATTTGAGTATCTGCGCTTCACTGTGAATTCTCTTCTGTTGCAAACACTGTATCACCTAAATGTTGTGACTCTGTTGCAAAGCTCGGTGTGTTTCCTACCATGACAGTGGCGATAATGGAGATGAGAGCATCGCTGTAGGCCAGCAGTCTGTGGGAGGACTGGGTGCTGCTGTGGCCCTCTCTCTCGGACGGACTGACGCTCTCCAGGAAGGAGGAGGAAGCTGCGTAGCTCCTCGCACCTTTCTTCTCCATCTCCTCCTCGACGTGATGCTCTATGATGTCGCTGTCGTCGTTTTCCCCCATCCTGGAGGAGCTGCTGGAGAGTGCTGCTCATCCACACACAGCGGACAGACAGCTGACTGAAGGCGGGGAAACAGGAAGCAGCAGCACGGCTGGTTTCCTGTTCTCACCGGAGATCGTCTGTTAAAGCGAGAGGAGCCACTCGGGGTGAGAACTTTGTAATGTTTGTGTTTCTGATCTGGCGTGGTCCACAGTGGTTTTATTTGAGTGTGTTATCTGAGGTGGGTCTTAAAACCACTTAAAGTCACCTGACCGGGCCTCTGTTTGTGGTTTTGTTGCCTTTTAATCAAATTAACTGAATAACAATTTGACACCTCGTGTCTGACTGGACCAACAAACCGTTACTGTTGAATTATTTAGCAGGTATTTGCACCTGTGACCTGCCATTCTAGCCAAGCAGGCCACGGTGAACTTTAACCTCTTTGTCAGAACCTGCAGATTCACATAAAAGGCCAAAAAGCAAACTAGACTCTTCAAACGGCAGCCACCAAATCAAACTGTGGCTGTGTTCATTTTGCTTTAAATGCAGGTTATGATGTTGCATAAGATCCTGTTCACACAGCTGCTGATGTTCAGAAAAGATTGTTTTACTGTAGAGTCAAACATATGGCTATTCAAACATTTTACATTTATTCATTTGTGTTGACTGATTTCTTTTATTTACTACAGCAGCATTTCTTTATCATGTAGAGAAACTGAGACCTAGTGCTGAAGTCGCACTTCTTTTTTCTTATTTTAAGAAAAAAGGGATTTTAATTGTGTAGTTAATTATCCTTACACTGACACAAAGGGGAGTTTCACTGTTTTGGCCCATTTAAGATCAAAGTGAGCTGCATGTGGCCCACAACAGTCTGACGTCCCTGATGAGTAGTCAAACTCCAGATCAACAACGGCCACTGGAAAGGACTTTTAATTAGCAGTTATTGTTACCACGAGCTTTCAGGGGAGCAGAGTAACTGGTGGTAACCCAGCTCAACTTGAAGATCCATATTTTCCACACAGTAACTCGACTAGATCACCTCTGCATGACTCAGTTCATATTAATGCTATATAATTATTTCTGTTCTGGACCCTGGTGTAGCTACCATAATAATACGTTTTAGCTCCTCCCCCTTTAAGACAACATTTTGATGATTGGCTGCCCCCACAAACACCTGTGAGGGCCTGTGGTGCTGTGACATGACCATATTAGGGTTTTTTGATGCCATAGAATAGAAAAAAGCGTCTATGAGAGAAAAATAATATTAAGAAAAAAACAGGGGTACGTTAACTGACTTTAAATATATTGATCCGTTTAATTTTAGATGCTGGTCTCTTAAAGGGGCATGACGAATCTAAGATATTCTAACCTCTCCTTAATATTTAAATGTCTTAATTTCTTACTTTTGATGTGTGTTGCTTTGGGATGCACCCGATAAATTAATCTTTAATTTAAGGTCAACTAAAAATTCTGCATTCCAGGCATTATTATTTAAAAGCTGATTCCTTAATCTAAAGCTTTTTTAAGTGGGGGGGTCAGTGGAAGTTTCTGATACGGATGAGTTTGCAGAAAACCGGCTGAAGGCTGTTTACAATCTTACACATGTGAGGCTCTCTTTTGCCTCTAGAGGGCGACATTACACCATAACTGCTGAAGAAGGTCGCAGGTCCGTGTTTTTCGTGAGGAATCCACCTGTTGTGCTGCAGCTCTACCCACCTTACAGTGACGATGACACTCATGTCTGCATCCATATGCGATGATATAGGTCCGATTATTTATAGCTCTCTATAGCAGGACTTTGCTTTTGGTTTACATGTATTATTTATTTATATTTATAGCATTTACAATAATAATTTAAATTAATTTCCTGGTTTATTGGAAACAGAGCTATTTCCCACGTATTCATATTCAAGCACATTTTGATTGAATATGAATATTTTGTTTAATTACTGTCCCCCTGCTGTTTTGCATTCTTGCTTTTCCTTCTTCGTGTCTTTTGGCATCGTCTCAGCCTCAGGGGCTTCACAGCAGCGCTACAACCTGGGGGTCAGGGACAGCATGCCAAAGCCTGAGGAGAGTCTGGAGTCTTGAATCTGGCTCCGGTCCCATGTTTTCCACTGGTCGTAAAGAACCCCAGGTTCGGCGACTGCAGCCAGTGCCTCTGGCGGTGCCTGGGGCTGTCGCTCCTAATGACATCTCAGCATCCAAGGCTCTCCATCCTCAACACTGTTCATGCAAATGTGTACTAGATCTCCCCACTGACACAACACGATCCATGGATTAAACCAGCAGCCAGCCATTTGAGAGGGTGGTAAGTAAGATTTCATCTGCTGAAAAATGGCTTCACATTAGCTGCAGGGGGACTGATCACCAGTACCTGAGTTTTAGTGATGTGCTGCCTTGCATTTAAAACACAAAACTCCACACGTGTTCACATAAAGACAATTTTCTATCTACAGCCAAACAAGGCACTGCATAAATTAGTCCGTCTGCTTTTCACACATAACATTTAATATTAACAGTTTGGCTCATTGAGGTTGGGACAGACAGACATACACGTACCTGCGGTAAATATGACCTTATAAAAGAGGAGAAAGTAGAGCAACAGTTTTAACGGCATTCCCCTCCTGCTGTACCTGAACACACCTTCCTCATTCAGCCAATATCAACGTTCATTAGCTTTAGTTTGCATCACTGCAACCAATGAAATCCCATTAAGATGTTAGTTTCTTGTTATATTTCGTCTTTTTATAATCAATCTGTCAACACAGCAAACACAGAAACAGCGATCAGAGGATGATCGCTCGAAGTAAAATCTGAATTCTGCGTCTTTCTTGCTGTGTGAGGCTGCTGTCAAGTTGTCATCCAGTTCCTCTGGACTGAAACATCCAACATATGTTACTATAATCAGTATCATCACTGATCACATGATGACACAGTCATGAAGTGATCTTGCGCAACATTTTGAAAGATGGAACCCTGACTGTCGACATCATTTCCTCTTAATCACAGAAATCTGATATCTGTTGGATCCACATTTGTATCTTCAGTGTCAATCGCCTGCATGTTCCTATCACGTTACTGCTGAATAATTAAATCACATATCAAATGCAATCTGTTAAGATTAAAAGGATGACTGAGTGGGCGATGCTAAATCAAACATAAATAAATAAACATCATGTTTCATGTTGACAAACATTCATGTTCTTCGGTCCACTGGAGCAAAACGGTGTCAGAATTTGCTGAACCTGCTTCCTGGTTCAAGGATGAAAGGAAAATCTCTTCATGAACAGAAAAAAGTCCAGATTCTAAAATCATTTTCTTGATTTTTTTACCTGAGTTAGAACAGCATAAATCAATATAACAATCAGCAGTTTCAATTTTATAGACATGAAGGGGTCGAGCTGAATATTTTTAGGTCACCTCACATGCACTTAGTGTATCAGAGCTTTTGTTGTCACTGCTGTTAGATGATAGGTTATGGAGCCAGGCAGAAAACCAAAAATTGATCTGCGAGATGCAAGAATAGTCTGACTATTTAAGAGAAACTGCAGGTTCAGATGGGTTTAACTCTAGAAGACACCCTTTTACCGTGAAATTATGTCGCTCCATTAGTAATATAAAAATAATTACTAGTATGCTTCACAAGCAGAGTGAAGCTGACCCCCCCACCCACTTGAAACGTAAAGGCAAATAGGCGGAGCGGTTAGTGCTACATTTGTGCTGATTTGTGCAGGTACAATTTTTTTGTACCTTTCATGCTCTTGCTCTTGACAAAGGCGGTCGCACTTTTCTCCTCCTCCTCCTCTCCCTTAGCTTCCCTGCTTAGCCTCTTATGTCCCCTATGTAACTAGTTTCATAGAAACATCGTTTCTCAAAAAGTGTTCATGGGAGTGTAAAATGTTCAAATGTAGTTTTCAATAAAGTTTTTTTAATACACTCTAAAAAAATAAATACTCAAGCATTTGCATCATAGTTTTATGAATGAAAAGTGATTGAAGTAAAGAAATTGAAGTTAAAAAAAAACTACACTCATTACAAAATTAGCTGATTAAATACAATAAGTTTGGGGTTTTTTTTAACAGAACCTTATTGAACAAGTGAACACACAAAGCGAAAGGTCATTTGAAAAAGCCATTTTTCAGCAGTAACACCATAACAGAATATATCATATCATAGCAGCACAAACGCTAATTTTACCTGCACAAATCAGCACAAATGTAGCACTAAAAAAGTCGACCATGTTGGTTTGTTTTGGAGCAGCCTGGGGGGATGGTCACCTTTGAATGACCTATAAAATAACGTTTAATATCTCAAAAACCGTAGCAGCACAAACACTAATTTTACCTGCACAAATCAGCACAAACGTAGCACTAACCGCCTGTTTGCCTTTATGTTTCAAGTGGGTGGGTGTAACTGTCCCTGAGACAGTTAAAATAAAGTTGGTTATTTCATGTTTCTGTGATAGATTCATGCTTAATTTAGTTCATTTATTTATAAGATAAGAGGATAAAAGTTTAACATTAATTAAAAAACATGTCTAAAATATGTGATTACAAAATATGGGTTCGTTTAATA